ATATATATATATGTCATATCTCGCAATAACCCAAAAACTTTTATAAATCACTTAACCACTTTCATTTAACTGATAAATGGACAAATGTAGATAATTCGCAACGAAATACCTCAAGCGTATGCACTATTCTTAGTGGATAGTGCAACCAGTGGTATCGAGCATCATAACCGACTGAACTGGTTCAAAGACAATAATAAGGAATCTTTTTTTACACGCACAGCCTCATGGACAAGGTTTGTACAAACAGAACTGGACTGAACAGACAGCTTAAACTGTACAAAGGCTGTAGCTGAGCAAACCCTGCCGAAGAAACTGGAACAAGTATGGAATCCAGAGGATGGTGTTATACGAACGTCTGGCCGCTGCCAATGACGCGTTTGGAACACTGTTCTACACCGGAGCATAATAGTTTGCTAAAAATAACTGATTAAAAGTTGGATATAAAAATAGGACTCAGGACTTAGTGATCGGTAAACAGTGACTATTTGGTGTAGTCCGGCAAAAGAAAGACAAAGCGTGTGTGTAGGAGGCGGGGGGGGGGCGCGAACTGCGTGGAATCAATCGGTCAAATCATTTTCAAGCATAATGCGTTCCACCGCAGCATTCAACTCGAGCATAGATATACCCTGGGGCTGTTTTCGTTTCCCATTTGTCCGACGCTTGCGCGCCGTCTTAACACGTAGACTGTTTGTGTTTGGTGCTGGACGGTTTCGTTCAGGGTGCAACTTTCTGGAAGCAGGCTTCTCAATACCAGACCAGTCTGGTCCGGTGAAACTTTCCGTAAAATGGGATACCAGAGACAAACAATTGTCCAAGTGACCGCGCGCTTCGGACAAGGCTTTTTCATCGTGTGAAGTTAGGATACGGGGCAGCACGTCCTGTAGGACTAGAGAAAATAGGTTTTCCGTGGTGGATGAATGTTGTAAATAACGAACTAGAGCATGATACAGACGACCACTTGGCAGTGTTGTACAAATATCATCCAGTGGGATACACTTTTTTGGATCCCGAAACGTACCACCTAATCCATCAAGCACAGAACCCAAACTGGACAGTGTCGCATAGATCAGCTGCAACTGACCGAACACATGTACAGTGTACAAATCGAATGGCTCAGAGAAGTTATTGTCCAACGCAGACAGAGAGTGCAGGCGTCGAGCCAGTGTGACCAGTTCACGTTTCTCACGTTTTAGGTCATTTGGTCGATACAAGGTGGTAATGCGACTTGCCTCCATTACGTGGCGGACGATCGCAATCGTGAGAAACGACATGAGGTATGGGCATGTTTTGGGATCAATTGTACGGTCCGCTAATGCACCGTATTTAAGCCAGACACAAACGAAGAGAGCCAGTGCGTGTAGCCAGGTGGTATGTGGTTGTGTTGGGTCAAAACACTTGGAGAACACACGCTGTAGGAATGCGATACGACAATCAGAGGTTGAATTATATAAATCAAGGCGTATAGCTTCTATGGGTGTTCGAGATGCACGGATTTGAAAGCCACCCTTACGCACGTACTCCGTCATGAACCTCGGTCTTCCGATGTCATTTACTGGAGCTGGTGCACACGCGTTCTGCTCGGAGGACTCCACGATAGCGGAGTGTTGTAACTCCGAACACCCCAGAATGAGGCCGCACAGAAGAGACCGAATCGAATCAGTACACGTGTGGATGGACGGACACTCTCGGATTGCTTCGATACCACAGTTAAGCACAGATCCACCAGAATACAATGCGTCTATGTACACCGGTAGAATACGATAACGTCGATACTGACTAACTAGTGATTCCGGCCAACTGACAGTGATGAGTTCATGTGATTGGTCTGTTTGCAAAGAGTCCGGAAAAGGGAATGTCAAATCGGATTTGGTAGTCTCCTCGCACATGAAATTTTCACTATCACTACGGTCCGTGCTCTCTTCTTCATCTTCCGATGAACATTTGCTCGGTGACGATGCGGTTTCTGTTCGCAAATTCTCATCCGCTTCATCTGAAAATAACTGTGTCGATGTTTTATCCGGTGAGTTTAATGACAAGAATGGATACAGGACGGTTTGAACATACGCGGATGCAATTCGATAGCTCAAGAGAGACTGTTCTAATTGAGCTTCGGCTCGTGCACGTTGTGCAGTTGGGATACGATTCAACAATCGGGACACTGGCTCGCGTACGTCATCACCGAATCCAGCAAGCCAATCAATCACAGTGCGATACAGTTTACAACGCCGATTTCTGCGCATAGTTTTGGTTGCACTGCCGTTCAGAGGTTTTTTCAACCCGTCAGTACATGGTAACACGGAAACGAACCGTTGCGAAGGAATGTAATCATTGCCTATCAGGGTGGCAAACAGTGGTCGTTGAATCGGAGGAAGTCGATAGAAGGCCGGACCATTGAGGAGGAATTTCCGACAGGAGATATAGTGGCACCGGGGTCCAGTGGACACGGACGGATTACATATGGCACAGGGATGTGCGCAAGGTTTTGCTGTCCAACTGAGAAAACGCAGCGGAAGTAGACAAGTACCAGGTACGTCCGAGGGAATTGTGATATAGAAATCAGAATCGTTACTAATCACAGGACAGCGCAGATGCATGGCCAATCCGACCGCATCCTCATCAGATTCGCGATCAGAAACTACAAACGGGATGTGCAATGCAGTCAATGTTTGTGCCAAGACCAACGGGGCCAGGGGTGGCAATATGGGCACACGCAGAGATGTGTGATTCGCGTCCGGTCGTTTGAGAGCCAGATGCGCAACAGTGCGGCTAGTTTGAAGTCGATCCCGAGCTCGATTCAACTGGGTGGACAACTTGGCCGTCTGAAACAATAAATGAAATCGGTTTAACATTTGGTACACAAAAGTGATCCCAAACATTTTGAATAATAATGACATTATGCAGTGTGTCCTCCGAGTTATTCAGGGTGAAGAAAAACAGAACAAAGAAATTTAGTTCGCTGAGTCTTGGTTTTGAGCATAAGCATCAGCAGCAAATTATAATTGACCAGACTGAATACTTTGTCGTCGCCATCAAACCACCCTGAGCTAGTCATAATTGGGCTGAAAACGTGACATTCGGTGCACATCTGTTTTGTCTTATTACTACTATCGATTGTTATCAGTAGTCATACACTTTGTTCGGATAATCATTCCTGTCGATAGATTCTACTCTTACGTTCAATTTTAACGGTTCCCTCACCATCAATCACCCACCCAACCCGTTTGTGCTCCTTACTGAACTGGTGATTGAAATATTTTGAACGTATGTCACCTTTTGTCTATGGGCGATGGTGACCCGGTGGTAATGTCACCAAACTATCNGCGGGGGGGGGGGGGGAGGGGAGGAGGGGGGTCGAATCCCACCATCACCACCTGACCTCCCCATTTGTGTATTGAATGGCAGCCCTTTGATTGGCCGCTTTCCTCTTTCCTGAAAATTACCACTTTGCATATTCATTAAAAAGGAAGTAAAATAAAAATAAGAGAAGAAACATTGCCGGAGATCCAACACAGAGAAACTTTGACTGTGCCCTTATAGTGATTTTGATCCCAACTGTGGTTGTTCGAACGAAAAGAACGCCACAGTACCACAGCAACGGAACGCGTCCTAACAGTGAAAGTGGAACAACTGCACTTGAGACTCGTTTCTCCCAACCCCAGTTTTCNCTGCAACGAAAAAATGAGAAGGTATAACCGTGTTGTTTCAGTTTTCATCTCATCTGCTATTGCACCACATTGGGGATGGGAACTGGTGTATTCTGTGATTGAGTTTCACAACACATGGGAACTGTTCGGATAAAAATCCACTAGAAAAATTCTGTTAGCAAGGCGCGTACACAACCCGTCAGACTCGTATAGGACCGTGCGACACCAAGGGCAAGCTGAGACCCGATTGGAAGAATGCGGAACGAACCAGACTACGACTACTATCCGACTAACGAACGCGAGAGTCATGGATGCAATCCAACTGGCACGTCACCGAGCCCTTTTCGTATGATTGATGCGCGCTTTCTATATGCGTGTCGTATTGTCATGATCATACATTATACTACGGCTGTCAATTTCCAATTGTATCCTTTTTTCCGTCGGGCACTAGGCCGAAGGTAAAGACTTCATTTTTGGTTAGGGATGGGATGCCATTTGATCGGTCATTTCGGATAGACAAACTTCGATCCTTACACTAAAGGGGTTAGCCGTAAACTTGTACGAAACGGAAACACTGTGATCGATGATATAAATGTTTAAGTCATTAGGTCTCCACATAACCGTTCCTTTGGGATCATTTTTTCAAAGTTGAATTGTTAATTTTGCGCAGTGGTTTAGATGCTGTCACCGGCGTGCTTTGGACCCTATGGTCCGAGGTTCGAGCCCCAACACCGCCACCCGACTTTGGTGTTAAGACGCTCCGCTGTCGTCAGGTTCAGTACCACACAACCTACCGGGGCCTTATGTGGTTCGCCACTCCTAGTCCTGGGGCTTAGGTTGTCCGTTAATACCACTGAGCAGCAGGTCTTCGTGACTATCGGGTTCACCCCGTCTGTTGTTCATCACACTTAGGTGTGTAATAAGAAAAATGTCCGTATTTGGCCGAACGAGGAACAAATCACCGACAAGTGGCATCAAATAAAATATGACTGATTGTAAGCGCTTACGAATACATTGTGGATAAGACTGAGCTGGTATTACAGGTATTGTTGAAAGCGCTGAGTACTGTGGGCGCTATCTACTATCAACGCAGGGTTCGAACACATGTTTGGTTCCGATGAACTTGGTGTGTGATGCTCAACACAGGACAGCAGACAGCTCTCTTTTTCACCCACTCTCATTTTGGTTGCAACTCACTATAATTGCGCACTGGTTTCAAATTGTATCAGAAGAATGCGAGATAGTAATAAACATTAACTACTGTACACGAGCATGCACAAAAACTCACCACATGACATCCATCAAAAAGGAATACGGGTCGGACTAGACATCGTTGAAACACGCGGAGCACCTTGATGATGGCAATCTGGAGATCGAAGTTCTCCCCATTGAACTGGGTGTCCAAACCTTTGTCTATATACACATAGTGAATGAAGTTCATTGCGTCTATCACAACCCATGTGTTGTGCAGTTGGAAATCTGCGAAATTCGCAGAGTTCTGATTCACATAGCTGGTCAATCCTTTGACTCCCATGGGCTTAATGTGTGAACAAAACCTGTGGAAAAAGAAACGACAGACGATTTGAGAACGAAAAATGTAAATAACCACTGGTTCGGGTAAACACACAAGCACACATCGAGAAAAAGAGCATAGATCACCACGTTACAGAAGGCTCGGTTAGCCTTTGCTAACCTGCGACATCTGTAGTGTCCTCGCGACATCCGGCTGTCTGTGAAAGGTCGAGTGTATGCTGCAGCAACTCGGCCAGTTCTGCCATACGGTGCAGAGACATGGTCATTAAGAAAACAGGATAAAGATGGAATGACGGTGTTTGAACACCGATGTCTACGCAGCATTACACGAATCTGGTCGGGTAACCGGATGAGCAATGATGAGGTTAGACGCAGAGTTTAAGGCAAGCGCGGTCACCTACTGGAGCAAGTAGTCAGCATCCACAGATTATGTTGGTGGGGGATGTGTTACACATGTCACCAGATAGGCTGTTGTTACGGTGAGCGATTTTCGCCGNAAGAAAGCCAAGGGCAGTCAAGCTAAGACCTGGCATGAGGGTATGAAAACCCTAACCTGGAGTCTAGATCACATAGGTCCCGTTAGGCTCCCTGGCTGGGGACCTCGGGATGATTGTATCCCTTGGTTAGCCACACTGAGTGATATGACTGGGGGTCGTAAACAGTGGTGTTTGTGCATCTCCTCAAGTTCTCTGCAACATTAGCCCATTGAAATTCCAAATTTTCTCTTTGATTCTACTTTCAACCTCTCCTGCCTTTCTCCTATTGTTCTGCCAACCAAGACAGTAACCAAAACCGGCAATGCCTGGTTAATGGTTGTACAAACTGAAAACTCACAGGAAGAAGACAAACAGCCAGTGAGGAGGTGAACAGATTTAATGATTATCTATACACGGGAAGACATGAACGGCCAAAATGGAGCATCTCGTGCAATGGAACAATACTCGTAGTGATACAATAGAGCAGTCTCCAATCGACCGATTTCTGTCGCTATTGGGGATGCTTTCTTGTGCGAGGAATGCATAGGCATTGAGGGTTTCGGTGGAGGCGCTTTGAGTAACTGTTTTTGTTCGATTGGTAAAGAGGTATGCTTCAAACGATCACGTTCTTCTCGATGTTTGATTGTTTGCATCATGAATTCAACCAGTTCTGGACTGAGCTCTATATCCTCTTCCTCCTCCTCGTCAACATCATGATCATCATGATCATATTCGTCTTGGTTACCCGATTCTCCATTCAAAAATTGGCCATCAACATCCTCTTCATCCCCATAAATTTCTTCATTGTCAGCCATATCCATAGCCGATGGGTACACATATCGATCTTGTTCATTGACTGTCTGATTCGAGTCCGGAGGAATAGTCGCAGGGACAGCCGAGAGTACTGGTAAATGAGGCAAAGCGTGCGCCGGTAGAATGGATGCCAAAGTATCCATTCGAGACAGCGTATCATTGTAGGCGCGACGAAAATACTCTTGTTTCCGAAACAGACGTAGCAATTCGGATCGGGTAGAATTCCATTCGTCCGTGTTGATGGAGGATGATCTAGGGCCTGATACAGACACATCTGCTGTGCGCGGTCCCATTGATGGAGCGGGTGGGAGACGCTCGGTCAGCAATTGAGCAAAGCGCTCCCACGTTTGATTGTAAAACACCAAACCCGATTCCATCTAAATTGGAAGAGATGAAACAGCGAGTGAAAGCCATGAAAAGAACGAGATGCTAAGGGATTAGGGCAAACGTGGTGGTGGGATATTTCGACCAGCCAAAAGTAAACAACAACAAAAAACATTCTGATCAAGAAAGTAACATTTTGTGTGGTGCGAGTTTAGGCAGTTTTTGTGAAACTACCTCATAACCGGTATCTAGATTATAGTTACCGAGCGGCATACACAGGACTTGAACAACTGTGGTGGTGACGCGATGTTTCATCGAAGTTGAAAAGTCGCGTATACTCCGCCACTGTACGATCAATTCTGCTTTATAGATTTGAGACCTTGAATTTGCGGGTAGGAGACATCCGTCGCCTAGTGGTTTTCGACAATCGATGCTCTCATAGTCGGGGTCAAGTACGATGGGTGTTTGGGAATACGACGAACAAGGACTCGCTATCGCATCGAATTCAGCTCCATAGGACACATTTTGCGTATGGCTGACGGTCGCCTAACGCAGCGCTCCTTGTTTGCAGTGGCTAGTACAATCTGGAGAAAGCCACGCGGAGGCCAACAGATGACTTAGAGACAAGGAGTAAAGAAATGCACAGAGCGATGGGGTTTAAAAGTCTCAGAAACCGCATGGTTGGAAACACTGAATGGCATGGCTGCGAACTGATAGCAATGGAGAGCTGGCTGTCACTTCTTATCAGACCAGTTGCACTGTGTACTCTGTGTTGACCATAGATATTTGCTTTCTTTTCCCGTCTCTAAAAGTAAATCCAATCCCGATCCTCCCTATACATTCTCACTTACCTTGTAGGCAATGAGTTTGGCAGAGATCAGTGAAGTTCGCTTCACTGTATTACTCTGTACAGTGATGATGATGAGTTACCGATAAACAAGAATAAATACAGGGGAAAACCATATATATATATATATATGTATATATATATATATATGTATATATCGAGTGTTACGGATGCTCAGGTTAAAGAATGGAGGTTCTATTGTATCCATGAGTTCTCAAACCGAATGTTCCAAGAGTCCGCGGGTATATCCTCATGATTGCCAAGTAGTGAATGGATTAATATACGATTAGGACATCATTTTCCTTATGGAGGCATCCATGTTTTTACCATCAAAAGCCACCAATACCTCAGTATGGTCGGGGTGGGTGTCTAGGGTTGCGGCTGGTCACCTGTCCCATGTGCCTCGCGAAATGCTTCCATACGATCAAGCGTTTCTTATGGCTTCTGCCTTCTCGTGGCGGAGGTGTTTTTCCACTAAACTGAGAGGACGAAAAACCGACATCCGAGTTGGTGGAACACTAGTAGTTCATTTGGGGAGTTGGCCAACAACCTTGATTCCAAACCAACCACACACCTGCGCGGTTGTGGCAGGGGTCACCGGTTCGATTGGGCACATCGGACGTTTGATTCCGTCCAAAGGGCGTATGATCCGGTGAACTGGGCATCGGCCACCAATGGATTGCGGTTTCCGAACACCGCCCCGCTGCCTTGTGAGTTAGGCTTTGGTTAGCTAAAGGATCTGATTGTGGATTCCTCAAGGAAACTCACTTGCCTTGATCTGGGCAACCTGGCACTATTCCGCTTACAAGCCAGTCATGGAACGTCTTTCCTTTCTTATAAAGATCAGTTTACCAAGATTTGCTTGGCACACGGTCTGGCGTTAGATGTGTGTGAAAGATATATTCATCAAATCAAATAGTTGTTGGTCAGGCAGGTGGTATTAAGCCTCCCAAAACTTGAAATTACCGTAATCAACTGATCAGAAGTAGTGGTCCATGTGGATAGGTAATGCTATTATTGATCTGTATGGACTTCTCATGCCTGCTTTATTCATTCTCAACTAACACTGTTCACATCGAGTTCACTTCACAGATTTTATCCTGCTTTTTGCCTATTTACTTATCATGACCCCATAACTTGTTGTCAACTGAAAATTTTGCACACGCATTCATTCAACACCTTACATTTAATTCCCATTTCCATTTATTGCCCGACAAACTAAAAATGATTGACATGGAAGTGGTAGGGTCATCGTTAGGCAGTGTGTTGACAAATTTTTTTCGTTTTTACTTTTTTATTGAATATACAAAGATACAACTTTCAGAAAGGGGTAAGCGACCCGGCAAAGGGCTACCACACAACACAAACGGGAAAGTCCGGTGACGGTGGTGGGATTCGTCCCCTGGGGTGATAATTCGGTGACGTTACCAAACCGGACCATCACTGTTGCCACGGTCGGGATGCTTAATATCGGTACAACGCATAAGAACAATCCACCTTTCCACTGTGTAACCGAAGTTTGCACTATCCGCCAAGAGAGATATTTTGTGGAGACAGATGCAAACCCAATAATGAGACTGTCACCGTGCGAATCGACGACGGTGTTTTGGTTCAAGCGACGGAGGAATTTGCTACTTACCCAAACTGAAGATGATACTAACCCAGAGGTTATCCGCGACGTGAATTCTTAAGGAAATTAGAACCACAACAATAATCGTGGAACACGATCGATTCCGCCTGAGATAAGGTTCCTCAGACGCATGATTTCCCATTGATAGTTCAGAACAAGAATACCTGAAGCTATATAATAGTTTCTTGAAAATGTCTTCTTCATCACTTTGGAAGCGGTTTCGATTTAGCCGAAGATGACTTGAAGTTTTGGGGAAACGCAGTCTGACGACGAGTAGGTATGTGACTGACGATGCGCAACGCTACAGTGGTAAACAAATCTAACATGAAATAAACACGAGGTCACACAAAGTAAACATCTGCGGTTCCACACTGCGCATCAAAGGAAACTAGATAAAAGAAGCGATGGAGAAAACGGAGGCACTCTGAGACCAGTCGTTATGTTTGAGGTTCACAATTTAGCATAAGTGCCTGAAATTTCACAGGTTCGATAGAACTGGAGAACTAACGATTTCCGACAAGAATGGAAAAATGACGACACGGTGCTGCCAAAGTTTCTCGATGACCTTAGGCTATTGTATACTGAATACATATCAACTGAAATTATGGACGGAATAGAGTTCAAGTATCAGAATGACCAGACAGAAGATTATCGCGCACACAGATCTGACGAGCGGCAAGAACTGCGTAACCGGTCGTGTGTTTCTGAGAAACTTTTTCCAGTCATCCATACATCACCCATTATAAAAAAATTGAGTTAGCCCTAGCGTCGAGCGTTGGCCGAGGTTAGACGCATCGCTTTCAACGGCGTGCTTTGGACCATATGGTCCGAAGTTGGGGCTCCGCCACCCGACTTTGGTGGTAGGCAGCTCTGCTGTCCTCCGTTTCAATACCACGCCTAACCCATCGGGGCCTTATGCGGTTCGCCACTCCAAGTCCCGGGGATTAGGTTACGGGTTACCATCACTGAACAGCAGGTCCTCGTGACTATGGGGTTCACCCCGTCTGCTTAGGTGTTTAATAAAAAAACACCTGATGCAGAACCATTGCAATGATGCTTCGAGACTTGTTCGTCTCAAATCCACTTCCCGAGCTGCAAATGAGATTTGTATCGCAGAGAGCATACTAGTGGGTAAACCGTAAAGTTCATTCTTCAAAGATCAATATTCGACCTTAATCTAAAGTCTATATTTACTTGTACCGCTGGAATCATGCGATGATGCAAACGTAACGAACGATAGCGTGTTACGCAAAAGAACAAAATAACGTAAGGTTGAATTTGTAGCCGACCTGACACAACAGTGCGAATTCAACTCAAAATGTCATTGGGAAAATATAGGTCTATCCTATAAGAAAGAGTAGAAAAGTTGGCAGAACGCAAAACAGATATCCCGCAACTCAGTCAAAGTCTGAAGCTACAGACAGCTCGGGTGCGATGATCCCTAGACGAACTGATCACCCTAATCAGTACCAAACTCAGTGAGTAGAGAGAACACTTGTTCTGAGCGTGAGATGTGTCCAATAATACAGTAAACAAAGTATCTCAAAGTGGACTAATTAATGATCTCCCAGTTAGGGTCAGTTTATCCGAGAACCCTAATCATTTACCTACATGACTGGTTAGCACAAAAATATACTGTTCCTACTACAAATGAGACCGATGCCTATTAGAGACCAGCACGGACAGCAGAAGGGTATAGATGGTGATCGTCATCCCACATCTTGAAGGTCATCTGTCACATAGGTCACATGGGTCCTGTTAGGCTCCCTGGCTGGGGACCTCGGGATCATCGTAACCGATGGTTAGAAACACTGAGCGATATGGCTGGGTGTCGCAACCAGTGGCGTTCGTGCATCTTCTCAATCTTTTTGCAACATTAGACCACTGAACTTATCCATTTTCTTTTCGACTCCACTTTCAACTTTCCTTTCTTCTCCTATTCTTCATCCAAATGGGCAGCCAAAAGACAGCAACCGAAACCGGCGCATGAATATGCGCGGTTAATGGTTGTTCAAACTGAAACTGAAAACTGTTCGAGTCCATAATTGAAAGATTTAGCACGCGCAAACAAACACAACCTCAAACAATAAGGCAAGCTAAGCAGATTAGCGCAATTGATTGGATAACTCGGATAAGGATGCCTCACGAGATGAACTCATCCTATCCTCATCATCTCAGTCAAATGTGCCACTGTGTAATTATGCTGCGAAATTCACCAACAGTAGACACGAAAGCGATCATGATTTTTAAAAAACGAGACAGCACGGCGATGTGTTTTTGTTACCAATGCAAAACATTCTATCAAACAACGCGCAGGCAAATAGAAGGACTTGGAAAACAGAACGCATTGTATAGCACAAAGTATCGTGTTGAACAGAGGGGGGGGAGAGCAAACGAACGAAGAATGTTTCCCGGTGGGGGGGAGCAAGTCTGTGCTCAACAGAACAGCATTTGGACCGGGAAGTCGGAATCTGGGTCACAATAGAGCAAGAGGAGCCGTCCAGGTGAACAATAACTGGGGATCGCATAACCGCACACAAGAAATGATTATTCAATCAGATGTTGCGTGGACTGGATCAGATCCACTTTATGATCGGCCAAATTCGGGGCCAGCTCGTAGTTAGCAATCACCACTTCTTGGCGTGCGACCGGAGTAAAGTCACCACGTAAACCGATATAGTGCAACCGAGTTGTTTCCGCGCCGTGATTGGACTGAATGTGAATCGTCAGGTGCCGAACCCCGTTGAATCGGGCCGGTTTCAGCGGGTATATGACCTCGCCAAACGGATCGATCGTTAAAGCCAAGGACTGGTCTGGTTCGGTCTGCTCGCAACGTACAGAGCGTGCGGTTGGCGTTGCGAACAAGTGGTATGGGAATGGAACGAATGAAGAACTTTAGGGAATAGACAGATTCAAATATGTTATCACAAACGATGAGTAGAATAGAAAAGGGATATAATGGGTGTTCAGTTGAACTTTGATTTCAATGTTGAGTCTCTTGTAACCTTTTTAAGCAACATGAAGTATATCTAATCTTGATAATATCAGTTCATCAGACCAACTGATTGCGAAGTGCACCGATCTGCACTGAGATCACGGCGCGAATGAGGTTGACAGCAAAAAGGAACTGTTAGTCCACATGGGTAATGCCTGCTAAGTGGATTTGGACTGAAACAGTAGGCGTTATTCTTTGATAAGTGAAGCTTCAAAGTTTCGGCGAGGGAAGAGAATCATTTTCCGTAAACGATAAATATTTTCCATTATTTCCGTAAAGAAAAATCAAAATTAACACCAGCCACCAGCCCAGCACTTCCTTATCTGGTTTACTTTATCAATTGTTCTATACTTTCACCCTTAGTCGCAAGGCCACAACTGCTTAGTCCAGGAAAAAAAAAAAATGTAGACACACAAATGTGTTTTTGTTCTCCAAACGATCGAGCCGAATATATAAAATTTCCATGAATTTGTCTATCTTCCAGCCAAGCTGGTTCAGTTTCGGTGATCGTATTTCGTAGGGTGTTTCACTACCTGAACTCGTTCCGGTGCCGAATTTTTTTTTGGTACTTTGTCCATCGTAAGTCGTGAAAGTCATTCGTTTGCGGAGGGGGGGGGGAATTCTCAACCAATATCAGCTGGAAAGAACAAGTACTGCGTTCTTTTGCTACATATGATTGCATGCTAAGCGATAGCAAAACTCAACGAGTGACCACGATAGAATGCTCCTTTTGAATCAGCTGATGTCTGACGTATTTACATTGTTACGATTCACACGAGTGTGTGAAGTGGTAAGTGATCCAAAGACGGATTAGGACAATTGAGCCTAACCGGAGTATAACAATGTTACAGTAAACTCATTACGAAATTAAGTAAACATTAGCAATGACCATCCAGTTAAAAAAAAAACTCGATAGGACTGAGCAAAGGACCCTACAGTCAAGGATTGAAGGAGAGTAAATCACACTGAAAGCCGAAATTGACAGCGCCTAGAAAAGACACACGACATACAAATACTACATCTTTCTCTCGTGGTAACTGGTAGTCAAAAGATCAAGAACCGATGGACACGAATAGCCCGAACTCACATTTGTGTCCGCAAATGTCATGAATGGTCTGTTTTTATAAAACGCCACATGATTCGGGTGCTGATCACCCGAGTCACCAGCGATAATGATGGCTTTCAATTTCACATTCCCCGTGAACGGGATGTTGAACAACAATTCCTCGTCGGCATCACTCTCGACAAACTTGGACGAGTCTTTCCGGTCCTATGAGGAGACGAGCGATGAATCGATGATGCGAGCGAACAATCCGAACCAAAAGTGATGCGGTGACCTACTTCATACGGTTTGAACACAGATTTCCCCGTCCCCGGGACTGCTTCGTTCAAACATTCGAGATGGACGAGATCGACGAACTGGTAGAGGCTAAATGCAGAGGCCGGCTCGGAGATGTCCAACGAGTGACAGCAGTGTCCACCGTGAGAATGATCACACATGGTTGCTGGCGTCAAGCCAGTTAATCAAATCGATTTAGAGCTGGAAGAAAAATCAAATCCGGTACAACCTGGTCACGGAAAGTATTTGTTCCCATGAGGTACCGTGACAAAAACGGTCAAAGATAGAAAGCGATACAAGAAAACTCATTTAAAATTATTAGAATTAAAGTAAAACATGGCAACTCTTAGATAAAACTAACTGATGCAGTGTGAAAGTGATACAACCTTGTTAATGAGTTCTCGGCATGAAGCAAGAACAGGCTAATTTGATTCTTGTCTAATGCAATTAGTCCGTTTAACACTGAATATGCTCGTGCTGTTTAAGGCAAAGGTTTTGTGGATTGAGAAGAGTTCAAAAAATCGCAACATCATGATCAACCAAACACCGAATATATGTACAGGTACGCACGCAGTTGTTTAGCTACCTTATTCAGTCCGGGATGAAAATACAGTTCCGTGTGATCAGTATTTCTGTTCATGACTTGAATAAAAGAATACCCGTCACGGACCCAGTACAAATTATTTTCAGCGTTTGCCGCCCTTGGTGAAGTTATCGGCTTAGCCTCGTTGTTGACAGACTGAAACGAAAAACGGTTTTCTTTCTTTAGTCAAAGAAAGAGAGTAACCTGAATTTCATTGGATACGTATTTTTGTGCAATTTGCAAATCTGGGACCGCATGAGAACGAAAAATGATACGCAGAACTATTGATTTGAATGCATCAGCTGAGGTTACCACTAAGAAAAATAGGTGTCGTGGTTGGGCTCGTTACCCAGGAAGCAGTTTTCATTTTTTACATTTATTACTAATGAGTAGCTTCTTTTGAGCTTTAGATTTTTCTATTACTTCAGCTGTGTAGTGAGGGCATTACCTCTGTGACCATGCGAAAACTAATACTTCGGTCACCGTTGGTCGCTATTTTCTAGTTATCCCACAGAGAGTATTTATACTTCTCTTTGCCGGACTGAATTGGCCTGATTTGCCTCTTTCTACGCCTTCTTTATCATATTTAGTCGATTGATTACTGATTTGTCTGAAACTCTAGAAAACAGATCAAAAATCNNNTTGAATACTTGCAGCTGGTGTTCTAGGGGCTCTTGGAGTCCGAGGTTCAAAACCTGCTAACACAACCGACATGAGATGAGCAGCTTCGCTTCACTATCGATCTTGGACTAGTTTTGGGAGTGAATGGGGCTATCCAATCAAATGGGCAGAGTTTAGGTTACCCGAAATCATAACGGAAGAGTAAGTACTGATTCACTCTGCAAACTACTGGTCATCTCATTCGAATGAGTAACAAAATTGTTCGTTCGCGCGACCAGAGATTCTTCAATTACTTTATCAATGACCCATGTCTTTAGAGGTAGCAGGTCGCGTCAGAACGAGAGCAGAGGATTAATTTTTGTCAA